ATAAGCTAGTTTTAAAAGAAGATAAAAATACTAAAAGCTTCATAAACCATTCCGTTGAATGGTTTATGAAGCTTTAAGAAGTAGAGAAACACAGAATGGATTCCACAATCAAGAACACTATCTAGATGGCCAAGCATGTGATACACAGAAGAATAAAACAAGAAATTGAGAGTGAAGTGGATGCAGAAAACACGGGATAGAAGTCGTTGAAGACCATATGTCTTGCAGTGGACAATAACGGTTGATGACAAAGATTAATGTTAACTTAAAAATATATAACGTATATAATTTTGATGTTTTCGATATATAAGTCTTTAAATGAAATTAAATGCCTTATTTATAATAAACATATAAAGAGCTATACTCATGTTTAATATGTAAACTAATAATCCTAGTATAAATGGTCTTTCGTATCCTGGAAATTGAAAACAATACCTAAAACAGTAGACTATATTACAAAGCTATATTGACAATCAGTACGAGTTTCTAAATATAATTTCTACAAATCATATTTCGGAAATATTAAATTTTTATTCAGGTAATATTCCTTTTATATTTCCTATATATTAAAATTAACTTATTATCATAATCTATCGTGAAATTTATTAATTGCAGACACTATTGTTTTATTTCTTATACGTTTTAGTTTACTAAAATTTCTTTAAACTCCTTTGAATATATACACTTTTTGTCATAATTTCAAGTTTGTTGATCTGAAATTTTGAATGAAAGAAAATAACAAGTTTAGAGATTGTTTTCGATTTCGCTGTTATAAAAGAAACATTCCACCATTTCTGTTCACATGCGACATGCAATGTAATCATTCAAACTGAAATCAACATTCTGCAAGTTAGATTATTTTTAATTTCTCCATGGACTCGTCATCTCCAAACACTTTACAAACTCCAAAACATACCAGTAAATCAACGAAAACCATCAATAATTTCCTATCGATAAATGTAGAGGAAGGCAACAGTACATCTGTAGAATGTAAAGTGACCCTTTTGTAAAATATGCTGACACTGAAAAAGACACAATAAATCCTTCTCATTAATCCTCTGAATGTTCACATTTAAATCGAAATAATTTAACAGAACTTTTCTCATTATGGGGCTTGGACAAGTACAGATAATGTGGGAGACTCTACGAACAGAAAACTACTGCTTTGGTAATATTCCTGATTATTATACAATGAAACTCTAATTCCATTGAAAAAAAATTTTTTGATATCAAGTCTCTTCTGGTAATTTACTTTTTTTGTGCGGCTCTACAACACAATTATTGTTAGTTGGAAGATTGTATAACAGTGAGAGAGTACAGCATATTTTAAAAATTTGATACTGATAATAATCAGATGTTTGGGACATAGCATCGTTATCTCATCAAATGTAACCTTTTGTCTGTAGACGTTGCTTTGTAATCCGTCACTGCTCGTATCTTCCTTGGCACGACTGCAGCAATTTATTCCATATATCTTTCCCTCTATAAGCCCATATCCAGAAGATCCTCAATTTTCCGAAGCATTTTTCTTATTTGTGGATTTCAATGGCAAAAGTATAAATAATTCAAATAATTTCTTGCCTGTGATAAATAACAAAGCATTGTGCAGCACAAACATTACGTGGTTCAGAGAAGTAACGAGACTTCTTTTCTTTTATTTACTGTGTCTTCTTTGCAATATACTGCAGTATGCCTCTTGCTGTCGATTGATTTTGCTATTGGTGGAATAAATTTAGTAACGTGTCTTTCTATCAGTCGTTCGGTTGAGTAAGTTTTTCGTTCACCTCATTTATTTATCATTGTATTAATAGGAGAAAGTAGTATCAATGTGTCGATAAGACTTTAAATACTAAATAATTTTTCTCACTACATTCTTCGTAAGTATTGTACTGTACTGTACTGTACATACCAATGTATTTTTTCGTGCTATTTCATTATAGTTACTTGTCAACCTTTTACAGCCACAAATTAGCGGTTTCGTTTACCGATTTTTCAGTGCTCTTTCTTTGCTATTCAATCGAATAGTTCAGTAGATGCATGTCTTACGCTATATGAGAAAAGCCGCGAGGTTGTGGAATATATGATATTACAAATACAGTAGTTGGCTGTGAGACAATATTCTTTGTCCAAAAGTGGCTCAATTACTGACAGTAATATTTATGACATTTTATATATTTGTAGCTGAAAACGGTACCTTTTCCTGTATAAATCATCGTTGAAAATAGGTAACCACTGTGACATCTGTAAAGTTTTATAGATCAGTTTCTAATCTTAACACGTTTCAGGGGCATGAATGGCACTTTACTGCTCTTAGGTTCGCTGTCATTCACTTCTCTGTATAGTAACGATCTGCTCAGAAATCTTTCGAGACAGAAAGAATTCTGCCTGAAGAGATCTCAATATTAGTCCGTGTGTTTCCAGCCTAAATCGCGCAATTCCCTAATTTTGACACTCGGATTTCCAGAATTCTCATTGTCGAAATCGTTGAAACTACTCACATGAGTGACGAACTTTATGGATATTTGATACTCTTATGGATTCTACTATGCAAGATCATAGCGTGGCATGGCCTAGATCAGTGTTCCGCAATCTTTTTCTACTTTCGGCACACCCATGACTCAACACGGTACACCAAAATGTTATTCCCCTCAAAAACGTATGATATGATACTATTAATAGAATTACGTAATGCCACTAACCTATTATTATTGTTATTAAACAGACATCAACACCTGTGAGCAATTTTTTTTTACATATAATTTCTTAGAATACATAAAAATGCGTGGCTTGTAATAAAGAATAAACAAATATCATCTTATTTCATCAGTGCTGCGGCAGAGAATGAAATATAAGCGTAAGAAACACAACAACTGTGATAAAAATATATAAATAAAATTTGAAATTAACAGAATATGTAAAAGTTCAGGTCACACCTTTCACCGTGTGACGGCACACCCGTTGCGGAATACTGGCCTAGATGATTATGAAGAACAATAACCGGAATATCTAATCAAATTTACACTATAATTATAAATTGTTCATATAGAGCAAACATAAAAATACTTCATTATAATTTATCGACTATAAAAATAATTTAACAAACATTTTAAAATTCGTCTAAAGGTATTTTACTCCGTCTTAACTTTTTATTTGCTACAGGAAACAGCAAAATATAAATTACATATAACCACATTAATTTCTCGATTAAATAAAAATATGTTCGTACAAAATATAGAAATTATCATCAAATTACCATTATGAAAATTAAGTAATAATTTTTCGACACAGTAATTACACTTCATCATGAGATTTGATGACGAAAAAAAAAAAACATAAAGGAGCTTAATTAAAACACATTGCAAAGGATTTAAATCCCGCCATAATTAAAAAATGTACAAAATAATATTGTTAGCAAAGTAAATATTAATCAATTTAAATTAAAATATCTTAGTTAATTGCAACTACCTTTTAGAGAATTCTTTAANTATAGAGCAAACATAAAAATACTTCATTATAATTTAACGACTATAAAAATAATTTAACAAACATTTTAAAATTCGTCTAAAGGTATTTTACTCCGTCTTAACTTTATATTTGCTACAGGAAACAGCGAAATATAAATTACATATAACCACATTAATTTCTCGATTAAATAAAAATATGTTCGTATAAAATATAGAAATTATCTTCAAATTACCATTATGAAAATTAAGTAATAATTTCGACACAGTAATTACACTTCAACATGAGATTTGATGACGAAAAAAAACATAAAGGAGCTTAATTAAAACACGTTGCAAAGGATTTAAATCCCGCCATAATTAAGTAATGTACAAAATAATATTGTTAGCAAAGTAAATATTAATCAATTTAAATTAAAATATCTTAGTTAATTGCAACTACCTTTTAGAGAATTCTTTAAATACAATTTACTTAGTAACGATGATAACGGGAATGTCTTCAAAATCAAATATAATTTGTGAAATATTTTGACTTAATAAAGATTTTAATAGAAAAAACATGTAGTTTTAGGTTGTTATTCGTATTATTCGTTCTATTTATCAAGTTCTGAAACATAAACATGAATATTGATCAAAAATAAGTGGTGTGGAGACGTGTATTTGAATATTCCTCTTTACTTATTAATATGGATTACTGATATTATTTTATTTACATAATATTGCGTATGTTATGTTACAGAATGTTCAATCGGAATTTAAATATGATCTTTTTATTCGTTATAATTCTTTGTTGGAGTGGAAAAGCAGAAGAGAGTGAAAATAAACCGAGTGAGTTAAAAATACAGTTTATTAATGAAAAATGATAATTATTTTTGATTATTTAATGATATTTGCAGGAATTGTACGAAGAATGATTGGTGGTAAGCGAGTTGAAATTGAGGATTATCCATACATGGTAAACTAAATTCTTTTTTAGTTATGACTTTTTTCCCATCTTTGAGCACCACTTAATCATCAATTAATCATACTTATAATGGGTTCGACCGTGCCAACAATTGGAGGGCTGAATAATGAAAAAGCGGACTCAAAATATCTGATGTCACTCCTGGAAATAATTCTCTGTTAATTCCTCCGAAATAAATTCACCCAGAGATGTGGGTTTACTTTTTAACTTCTTCATCCTTTTAGCTATCGAACAAAATTTTAATAACCATATTCTATATATCAAACTGTATACGAAATAAAGTAAATAACATTTTTATTTTAGATAGCCATTTTCTCTCAAAGTAAACAAGAAGGCTTTTCTGGCAATTTTCTAGGAACATTCTCATTGATAACATCGAGAACTGCACTAGGAGCTGCTCATGTTATAACTAAGTATGCATTGTACAATTTATTAAAACGAATGAGCAATGCTTTTAAAAATTTGAAGCAATTTAAACTTATAAATACTATACAAAAATAAAATGTACCTATTTACAATACGATATATTTTAGTAAAACAATCTTATGTGTCATTGCAATCTTTATATATTATAGTTTCACAGTTGAAGGATTGTACGGGACAGTAGGACACAAAGATAAATATTTTGGAAAGAAGGTGTATTTTACCGAAAAAGTTCAACATCCGGACTTTGTTGGAGACTTCTTTCATTGCGATATTGCACTCTTAATAATAAAAGAAATCGTTTCTAAAGTCGCCACTTCTATTCTTACTTCATTTGTACATCCAATCGCGCTACCGCACAAAAATAGAGATTGCAATTCATCTAGAACATTGATAATTGGATGGGGAAAAACTGGAACAAGTAAGTACACATTGAATTTTAAGTAATATTTAAAAATTTAAGATATATTGATGAAAAAAAAGAGAAAACATGTGGAGTTTCACTCATTCTTTGGATTTCCAAAAAAACTATTATGAAAATATATATGATAACAAGAAATTATTTATTGCGACATCGTCACATGCCGGGATGAAATTTTTAATCATATTTTTTAATTTATTAAACTTAAAATATATGCTATCGATTTCAAATTAGTGGTGGCTTGCCCCTGTACTCCATACTTTTCCTTTAAAATCCAAGTCGTGCCGGTCATCTATGTAACTTATTTCATGAGGAAAACTTTGAATGGATCTAATGGCTTTTCGGTGGAAACCGGACGTTCTTATATAATTATTCGGGGCTTACTGCCATTAAGCTTTCCACATTTGGTCTTGGCTTTCATCTATCTAACTCCGTTCTCGAGATTAAAGGTTAGACGAACGACAGAGAGAATGTACAGATATGCATTATTCTAGTAGCCTTATATTTGACTTCATTTTCCTTCCTATCATTGAAGTAAACTTTGTTGAAGAAGGTAATTAAACTATCTTCGGTTGTGCTTATGATTACCGTTACATATTAGACGATTTTAGAGACTATGCTTCTTCAAAATTAAGCGAAACTGTTTAAAAAAGTTCACCGGTTTCCAATAAATCTATCGAATATTGCTAGTAGATTTTAGTACATTTAATCCTACAAGCGTCGATTTTTTATACGTACAGTTCTAAGTATATATTCACTTAGCGCCACAACGGAAACAAGTGGGTAGTAGTGAATGGATCCCATCATAAACGAAGTAGATTCACTCAGGAAAATTTTTGTTATATTATATTGAACTTGGTCTTCCCATACAGAGAGAATAGAACTTTTATTCTTTCAGCTATTCGGTCTTCATTACATGTCCTTTGTTAGTGATTGAAAGTTATTTACAATATTTTTTGAGCGGCTAACAGTATATATTATATTTATTCTTTTTTTAAAATTGAACTGTATTGAATTATTTGTAAATTTAATAACGACTATATTATAATTGTAAATTTCATGTCTGAAGGTATGCAAGATACGACACATTATCTCCACGCGGCTGATGTCAATGTCATCAAAGTTAGCGACACTCCCTACAAAGGAAATCCGATATACGAGTCTAAATCAGTAATTCTCACACGTAAACGAGGTGTTTCCTTTATGACAGTAAGTACAAACCTGTATACATTATAAAATATTTTTCGGTTTATAGTTATTTTTCTGTTTTTTTTTTGTCGTCAGGACTATATTCATGTTTATTTGGATTGATGTTTCGTCTAGTTCCATTGTTTTCTCTTCATTTCCGTTACTACTTCCTTTTTCTGTTTTCATTCTTCAGTGGTTGACCAGGTAACACAAGAACTCATGTGTGTTCTTCAAAAGAAAAGACTCTGAATCCATCACGAGGATCCCGACCATCGATTGGTCCGTGTAGGATATATATATGTAAAATACAATGAATAAGAGGTGGTTTTAGCGGCGATTTTAGAAGTGTGAGGAATAGCGCAGATAGAACGACAACGATAGAGCATTCCTACTCAAGAGACAACGTGTTCTCCGACTATGGTATCGAGATACCGAGATGATCGAACTCTTAATTTCTGTTGTATTTCGCGATTTGGAAATCGGGATCAGTAATTACACTAGTAGTAATAACAACCTGATGGTATCGAAAATTTTGGCTAGAGAGGAGTTAGAAAAAGAAATGGAAAGTACTCCAGTGTGATTCACAGATTCTGTTTTTCTATCGGGACCACGTGAGCCAACACTCTTCTGCCCGACTTTGTAACTATTCGCTTTTGTTTTTTATTAGCTATGTCTCGTCTATTCACTGTTTCGCAGGATAAATTGGATATAGAGTCGAAATTTCTCCATTGTCGCAGCATTGTGTGTACCAATAATAACGTCCGTGTTTCGTATAGTGAAGTGCCTTGAAACTTAGTGGGTCGGTCCTAGCAATTAACTGTACTGATATATATATATAGAAGGCTTAATGATATGCATATTTATTTTGTTTATTAAAGTTTATAAAATATTTTCTCTGTATTTGTGATTCTGATTATCCAAATTATCAATGCGAACTTATAGTCTTTCATTTATTGTGTTTTCGTTGTTATGATTTTCCATTCACGTTCCTGCGGCTTGTGCTACAAGCATTATTATATGTAATCTTTTTAATTTTAGGGTGATTCTGGTGGTCCTCTTATATCCCTAGAAAATAGCAATACACCCGTAGTGATTGGTGTTTCAACTGCAGGTGAGAAGAAACCCGGTGGTGTCAACTTTCACCTTTCGACAATTTATTTTATTGATTTCATAACACGCAACAGCGTGGGAGATTTACTTTTGTGTAATTGTTAATAATTTAAAGCAATTTACAATTACATTTTACTTGTAACTACAAATTCTCTCGATTGTGTTTTAAGATAAAATATTTTTTACGAGCACGAAAATCTTTTTATAGATAATATTTATAATAAATAATAAAACATAGAAGAATTGCGAAAGAAGTTGCTGTAAACAACATCTAGTTAAAGCGTACTCTATTGATAACTAGCTGTTACACGCAACTTCGTCCGCGAAGGTTTTGCAAGCAAACCCCATTTACATTCAATATTTCAATAACCATAGTAATTGTCATATAACTCCTACCGCTGAAGAGAATTGCCGAGAATCAAACGAACTATCTTCAATTTGATCAATTTTCTGGAACGTTTACAATCGTTCTATAATCGAACCAATATGCAATAATAAATTTGAATTTAAAACGGATCGAACATTTTTAATTAAAATCAAACCATAAAAATATTTACAACAATGTCTGAAATGTTATCAATTTAATACACCTAAGTACTCAATGAAGACTAAACGTAGTTGAAAACAAAAAATCGTATCTAAAATAGTACAGTAGAAGCCGTTTTTCGGGTTAAACCTTAATGCTCTACCTCTCCCCCCGCGGGAAAATTTTGAAAAATCCTTTCTTAAAGTGAATTCCCATGGCATACACTACTAAAACGCATATAAAAATAAAAAATCGCATTTAAAATAATACAGTAGAAGCCATTTTTCCATTAACACTTAATGCTCTCCCTCTCCCCCTACTTGGGAATTTCGAAAAACCCTTCTTAGTGTGCGTTTTCATGACGTACCCTAACTGTGTACCAAATTTCACCTCTCTAGGTCCAGTAGTTTGCTCTGGGCGATGATGAATCAGTCAGTGAGTCAGTCAGTTAGGACAAGCAATTTTATATATACAGATTAATACCAATTGCATCATTTTTAATTGTAAGGTTAGGAGAGAAGGCCTAATCAGATGTATAAAAAAGAAAATGACCAGATTAGGTGAGATATAAACTGTTTTTAGTAATTGTTAGAAATTAATAAGTGATTCAGAATAGAATCAAATCATTCACAAGAAATCAACAGAGATTTTTTGTAATGAGTGAGCAAAACCCAAGATAATATTCATTTTGTAAGTATTCAATCGCAGAGTTGAATACATGTTAATGTTATAATTAAGAAGAAAATATAAAATTAATATTCGTAATTATGAAAATATGAAAATCGTATTAAATAATTATAAAAAGTATACAATTTTTTAAATATAAAATCAAATTAAAAGCAATGGGATCGGTAAAAAATTCATAAATATGTAAATTCTAAAAATAATTTCAGAATGTTAACAAGTAATGTACACTTTATATTCGAGTTCGAGAAAATACAATACAATTTTTACTGCCTTTGGTGCCTTATCTTTAAAATACGATCTTCACTAAAAACCTTAATTTATATAAAGCCTTTGAGAAAATTAAATCTTAATATATTTTTGTAATAATTTAAGTAATGCGTATTTTAGATTATAAATATTTGCATATTTTTACACGGGCCTGTCATCTAATATTTGTATCTTATATTAATATTTATAATGTACATTTTTGATAAGTAAAGGATGGTAATTTAAAGTCATACAATAAACTTTATTTATTTAGCTAAATTTAAAATATTTTATGTTTAAAATTTAAAAAATGCATAACACGAGTTATTCCTACATTCTCACTCTTAAAATTTTCGAAAATTTACATGTTGCACATGATAAAGTTAATGTCTTAACTTGTTATATACGACTTATATTATTTTGTACTTTTCAATCAACAAAGTAAACATGTGTTTTATTTATAAAATAACATTTCTAGTATAATTTGCTATCTATGTTTTAGAAATCGTAAACTGTACTTATTCACACAGTACAAACAATGTCATATCGACGAATGAAAGAAATCTTGAAATATAATTTTCGTAAATAATATTTATTGCTTCCTCTGCCAAAATATTTGATTTATTCTGGCTTCATTGTTTCTGTTTTTTCATTCTGTTGCAATCATGGAAATGATTGGAAATATCTTCCAGATGACCTCCAATATTCGAGAAAATATAAGTCCTGCACATAGTTCATGGGTACATAAATGACAACTGGCTGGCAACGGGAAGTATTTCCAGTTTTCTTTACGTTTCTAACGCAAATAGAAGACAGTTACCCACAAAAAGTTTTCCTCGCAAGCATTCCCCATCGGCAGATAGCCTGTCAGTGATGTTACCTTAATCTAAAGGGGAAATTCAGTTCATATTTTGCACGTTCGAGAAATCTACTTAGTTAAATTTAAGTGGAAAAGGGAACATTTGGCTGTAAGAATTTATCTCTTGTAGTATCTTGCAGATTTTCATAACTCCATTGATTATCATAATGTAATGGCCAAATTTTGGATGGCCATTCTCTCCTTATTTTTCCATAAAAAATATATGTTGTCCACCTGAAATTAGAAGTAGCTTGTTCCTGTAAATAATACTTTTCTTTTACAATATAGTCGTGGCTGTCATCTATCTAACATTTTTTGGTGGAAATATTTAATTACAATAAGGTGATTTTCGGTTTGTAGCGGCGAAAATATGTAGTTAATCGGGGCCTCCCAGCGCTATAATTTCCATGTCTGGCCTTATATTCTATCTGTCTTTGTCCTTTCTCGAGATTAAGGAATACCGAACAGACAGGCAAACGGACTGACAGACAGACAGGGTATGACAGTGGGAATTTATACGTCTACAATTTTTTTCAAAATGCAGCCCAATGAAAGTTTGAACATCACTGACTGCCGATGGGGATGCTTGCGAGGAGGATTTTTGTGGGAAACTGTCTCTTATAATAAATTAGAGTCTTTAGTTTAAAAAATTTACGATTTTGTCCAGTCTGGACTAAGGGAACTGCGTCTGAAACATAACGTTCCTGAATCGCTTGACACAACTAAAAACACATTCGATATACAGGTAACCCCCGTATAACACGGCACTTCTATAACACGGATTCACTCTAACACTGTTAGAGAATTGGGAACATCCCCCGTATAACACGGTGGTTTTATAGCACGGGTTCACTCAATCACGGTTCGGGAATTGGGTAAAACCCTCGTACAACATAAAATGTAATAAAGGGTGCGTTCTTTTATACTTCCGCGTAACTCCGCGCGAGCATTCTAATTGTTTTCGTGGCTACTTCGAATGCTCTTTCAACAAATAATTCATTTAATGGTTTAATTTTACAATTGGGACCCTCCTTTTACCTCTAAAAGCTCGTTTTAGAATTATAGATTCCTCTATCGCGATACTCTCGATAGTGCGGGCGCCGCCATCTTTCTTTCACCGTCGTTCCTAAATGCCTACAAACAGCAGCGCACTCCCGTTGCAGAGCGACTAAATAAATTAGGTTATGT